CATATTCCTGAATCATCCACACGGCTAAGAATACGCTCACGATATCTGTGTATATACGTCTATCGATGCATCCTGATGTTCTCGTCATTTACAATTCGCTTTACATGGAATTATAAATAATTCTCTAATCAATAAACCCACATAGTGTTCACCTTTTTAAAATAAACTACAAACATTACACTTCACAGCGTCTTCCATGCACTGATATAAGATTTCACCGTACGTCAAAGGACATCTTGTGAGGATTATCAGTCTTTATCAAATGAAAGTAATTTGTTAGATATCATTCTAAAGAAGGCTGTGAGACAGCACGATCGATACTTATGGGAATTACTGATAGCTCAGATGATCATACTTATAAAACAATAATGAATTTATTGCCTTATATAAATATAAGGATAACAAGTACTGATAGAATGAACACCTGCTTCATACGACAGTTACCGATGATAAATAGATGAAAAGTTACGTTTTATAATAACAATTCACACAACCGTTGGAGAAAAAATTGTAATGTATTTCATTTGTTTTAAATTATTTGAAATAATACTACTGCATTATGCATTAGAAAATACTTTTGAAATGAAGACAACGAACACGTTTCTCGCAAATTATGTGTTTTCTGATCAACTTTTTCCAGGTATTTGATACGATAGCAATGTGACTCGTACATAGCATCTACCTGCTATATTTGAGCACACACTGCTTGTGACAAGTGAAGTAAGCTCTAAATCGATTCGATGGTGGAGACCTTAGCACCAAGAGTTGAAACATCCCCGTTTTACTTTGCACTTACGAGCTCCTAGTGGCTAAAAATGTATTATAACTCTAAAATTAAAATGATTCACTCTACAATTAATGACGAATGTCGAATAGATTGCCTATTTCCAGTTTATTTGAGAAAGGAAATTACAGGCACACCGAACCTTAAAGATATGTAGTCACCACTAAACTTTAGATGAAACATTCTCTGTGATTCATTGGGAAAGAGACTTACAAACTTTAATTTTACATTTCTAGATAAATAGTAATTATTTTATTCGATTATTTTACAGAGGAAATCGTTTTTACATCTTTCCATACGCTGATATAAATTACGGATAAAGCATTTAAATTGAAGAAAATTCAAAACATTCTGGGCTTTTCAAATTCCTGAATTACTCTAAACTAATTTTCTCGTATACAGCATAATAGGCTACAACTTCTTCTCATTTTAGGGAGTTATCTGATTTATTTTCCGCGGGCAAAATCCTGAATTCTGTCTCATTCGTTCCGTCTCAGTGGGCGTATAACTTACACAAAGCTTTCTCGGTTAGTTGTTTAAAGATTCAAAGGATTTGACAGACTTTAAAAAATTCGTGGAATTTTAGAAACGAACCTCATGTATAAATTGTGTTGTATAAACGAAAACCGTTCAGAATTAACATGCTATTGTCAAGTACTGTATATTCTAAAAAAAAAAAAATAGCTTAGCTCTCTAGAATTCTCGTTTTGCTCATACCAGCGAATGACCGATTTCCGAATATAGAAGCCATCACGAATTTTATTTCGCTTGAGATAAAATAGTTCGATCCTTTTTCAAACGAAATTCTGTATATTTCACTATTATTACCTTTGATTAATCGGATTTCCTCAGTACACCGAAAGAACTCGACATTGTACATATGTATCACGCAGGTCATTAGGGGAACGTATAAGAACGAATGGTCCCGGAAAGCGAGCGTGCAATGTTTGATCATTCGACACTGGACGTGACATTAGACCTGTTGTGGTATTAGTCAAAAAATTTTAAAAAGAAACTCCTGAATCTAGGTTTCAACTTTTATATAAATATGTGCATCAAGAGCAACAAAAAATATGCTCATTATTAAACATTAGTCTCTAAACAAGTTAACAACATTAACCACTAATAGATAATCGTTTGATAAATTTGTGTTCATTACGAAGATACGGATATAAGAAAAAGTACAATGTTCAGTATTCAATTATTGAATGATCTCCTACTTGAAAACTTCATGTCGTTTCACATCTGCAGTCAGATTTTAGATTTTGAATACGTCCCGGAATTGGCAGACCCACACCTACCGAATCTAGAATAATTTCATGTGTCCATTCATAACTAGGAATACACGTGACAACGGCACCGCTGAGTTTTTCTCATGAACTCAACACAGCATATTTTGAGGTTTCCAGTTAGCCATGAATGGCAGGACGTGACAAATGAAACTTCACCACAGGAAAATCCGCTTGAAGAGGATTACGTAATTAAATGAATCAGTGCCCATTTTTTCTCGGAGAAATTCGGGGAAAAGGCTATAGATGATCCTTAAATGTTGAATACCAGATGGTTCAACACAAATATGTCATTTCACAAATATAAACACGTTTAACTTGCTTCAGAACGAACATGATTTATTGAAAACAAATTACAGAATAAATCTGCGTCAGTTCAACATAATTTTTATTGAACGTATACATTTGCATTCCTCTTCATACCTAGGGGCGTTCTCAAATTTTGACGAGTACAGAGAAAATGTTCACATGATAATGACAGTTCAAAAGCACTCGATTGAACAGAGTCAAACAAATCTCTAATTATACTTGTCAAAATTATTCTGGAAAGTAAAATAATTTTGTCACACTAAATCACAACTGTCACGTGGTGTCCTTTCTTCATTATGTAGCGCCCCATTTCGCCTCGAAATTCAACAGACACCGGTAACGCTCGTGTTGTGGCTTTCCGAAGACCGCAAGAGTGAAACGGACCGAAGATGATGTCTGTACTGCAGCTACTGAGCCACAGAATGCTCCACTTATTCTTCTAATACAGATTCTGTGTGCCTGACGGCTGATGGGTTTCGAGGAAAAAGGGACGACGTACCAGAATTCTCAATTTAGCTCGACTTTGGAAGCAAAGATGGAATGCCACAAAAAAGTAACGTTGCATTGCATATTCTTATTTTCAAGTGGATATATTACGCTGTTTTTCTGAATGTACATACGAGTTTTCTCAAATCTTATCTACGTTATGATGGTTACGATAATATCTACGTTAGGGTTTGGGTTGTTGTTCTTTTATACATGAGACATTGTACGAGTTGACATTCAAGAGAGATTCCTTAACTACTGTGATTACCGATATGTATATTACAAACCAATACGTGCTGCAAATCGTACGTTTATATATGAGAACCTACTTTATTGACGACATTATTTTTCATTGTCAGGAGACTTTTCAGTAACTTCGAATCACCACGAATGGCAATTGTTATAGTTGGTCTCCGCGTATCCAATTCTTAATTACTGCAGTAAAACTTTACGACACTGCATGGTGTTCTTTGGATCGGCAGCACATCAATTTCTGAATTTTTCATCAAAATATTGTTTGTATAATAACAAATGATAACTGAGAAATAATCGAATAACTAAGAAATATTTAATAAAAAAGTCTTATACGAAGGTGAATCAGATAAAAAATAATAAAAATCGATTGTCCTTTCTGGAGCCATGGCTGGTGTGTATCGGATTTTGATAAAAACATATCGTCAATTTTCTTAGCAACCGAAACGAAAATCACAAAGAGACTTCCAAATTAGTGTTGGATGATAAGATTTTTGATAGAAGGATTTTCTTCAATATTGAAAAACATTATGAACCCATAATTGTACTTTATCCATAAAATAACGTATTTTCAGCAAAATTCAATTCACGTTTTTGAAATACAATTTTCGAAAGTATTTCTACCGATGACTTGCTAATACTACGCACTCCGCCAAAGAAACGGCACGCAGCACTAAAAACAGATTGAATAACATACTAAATATATGCAGTTAGAATAATGTATCTCAAAGCATAAATATTTTGTGGCATTCCATTTATACAAAAGGTACAGATAAATCTAGTTTTATGTGCATAATGCCCAATGAGAAAGGACTAATTTTAAATACTTAGTATGGGAGAGGTTATCAAGTGTCGTATTTAGAAACTAGGTTTTAAACTTTTAATATTTCCAAGTCGATTTTTAGTTACCATGAGTTAATTCCCATTCCAGATTTCCAATTTGGAGTATTCCATTGTCAATGCTTCTTAATTAGCTCCGAATTGCGTCTCCACCATTTTAAAAGTTTGAAAAGTATTTTCATATTCATTAATCGGAGCATTTCTTGTTTGATTAGACGGATACGAACCAAATGGTCAGTTCCCCACCAACATACCGAGACGCGTCGGATAGCAAATCTACCCTGCATCAGCTGGTGCACCGAAAGAGGCCTAACCTTCAATAACAGACGGACGGACATACGCGGGATCCCTGATTACTGATTACTAGGGAGAGGATTTTTAGAAATCTTGAAATATACCTTCATGATCTAAAAATTAAATTTTATGCATTTATGATCTAAAATTCTGAAATATGCACTTTAATATGCAATAAACATTAACAGTATATTTAATATTCTCTATAAATCTTTGATAACATTCAGGAGAAGCATGCGTGGAATGAAAAGAAAATTTTTGTGCAAACAGAATACAATCTATCCTACTTTGCGAGAGAAATAATTGAAGTAAATATTCACCTTTAGTGAAGTCTTGTTGTGTTTCTTCTGACTCGTTTAGAAATATATGTTATCAAGAAATATCCTACATTTGCACAAGTCACAAACTTGTGACAAGCTCTTTCGAATCAATGACCGCTCACAAAACACTATGAAAATATTAAACGTTTAATAGTTACGTCTCTGTTGTTAACGAAATATGCAAAATATGTGCCTATAATAACACGAACACGCACCGACGAATATTCGGCCAAATCTGCACTAACATCTTAATCTATATAGCATCATATACTCACCAAATGTGAAGAAATTTAACTTGGATATGCACTGGGCAACGGGCAAAAATACGCAAAATCATAGACATACGCCCTCTACAGATGACTTTATAAATGATGTACGAAATGCAGTATGAGAGCGCCTTACCTTGAGCCCCTTCTCGAGCAGGACGTCGACGGTGGTGGGCGAGTTGCAGGGCGAGCGCGGGAGGCCCAAGTCCTCCTCCTCCTCGTCGACGTCCGCGTCGTCGGCCTCGTCGTCGTCATCGTCGTCATCGGGGTCGTCGTCGGGCTCGTCGGCCGGCTCGTCGTCGCTGGTGGCGCCGGCTCGTCGCCCGCCGCCGCCGCCCGGCTGCCGCCTCCGCCGCCGCACGGCGTCCAGCAGCTCCGCCTGCGCACCCCGCCACGCTCACGCACTCGCGCCCCGCCACGCCACGCCCACCTCCCGGCACGCGACAAGCGAGCTGCGCAGGTGCCTCACGAGAAACGTTACACACTTCTAGTAATGTCTACTTGGCGAGACAGCCCGCGAACGGGCCAGGGCATACCAGCAGCGTACTGACCCCGCGGCAATGGGTTGAGGAGTTCGTATGGTTGGCACTAACACATCCCTGGTCTTCTCACCCTGAGAAGTGAGCTTTCCCATCTTCACACAGCAACAGTTACAGGGATATCCCACTATAATCATGTCTGACTGAGAATCGAACCCTGGGTCGCGTCATGGAAAGCGAGCACGCTGACCAATGATCTAAACCCCGAGATCTCTAGTAATGGGTCGAATACTCGTATAATCCCTTTTCGTCAACGAATGTGTAGTAGGAAATTATATACAACGGAGTTATACGCAGTTATACTTGTGGCATTCATCCGTGAAATTAGGTAACCCCCTACGCATAAATGTTCGGCAGGTATATGAAATCTCCTCGGCTCTAACAGAACGTGACCTGCCGAATATATGTGCAAAATAAGTTGCCTAAAAATGAGGGGGAAAGGCACAGGTGAAACACCGATGTATAAAATTTGCCACTACATGTTCAATGGCAACAATTGATCGTTTTCGACCCTTCTACATGCTCCAGAAGTTTGTAATATTTATTGAGACACCTGCAGAGCTAGACCAATAGTAAAACTAGACCAGTTTGAGTCTGGATACAAATAAACGTCATTTTTACTTCAGAGAAGTACCCTCCGCTGCAACAGCTGTTCAGTCACGCCCCGAAGTAAAAACGTGTGTTCGTCGATGTTTTCCGTAAAGTCATTATGCAAAAGTTTCAAAACACGAAATCCACTCAGCTACTACACCGCACAGAAGGAAACACTTCGTTCACACCTCCCATTCAAGACTCAGTTTTAAAATAAACATAAAATTTATCAATAAAATAATAAGTAATATAATGTTTGTAAAAAAGACCTAAATTCAATTATATATCGTGTCGCACTACATTTTGATCGGATGACATTGCAAGAGGAAGTATTGAATAAAGGAAGAAGCGCCACATCAGCATATGGTTAGATCCTTCGGTCATGCTGCAGGCATTAGCTGTCAAAGTGGTCACAACTTCAGGGAACTTCTCTGTACCTGTATCTGTACTCTGTATCTGTAAGGATTAATCGTTCGGATTTCGGTACCAACAACATTAAGCGGTGGAGATTTGCAGACACTCAAAATACACCATAATTTCATATCAAATTTTCATATCGCCTTTCGTATCATAATAACCTTGCAGAAACAGCATGGTACTCTCAGTCCACACAAATTCACTTTTCTCTTTCCTTTTAATATTTTGGTTCTTATGACTCACGTGATTTTAGTACCTTGCTTCAAATAATTGTTTTAGATCATTCTTTCGATTCGGTCAGATCGGTATCCAGGTTATGATTGATTGCGGATTCTCGGTCCAGCGCGAACACTCCCGCTAAATCCTTTGCTCCCGACGATAATTCCATTACAGTACAGTACACTTAAAAGAACCACGAGTATACAAGAAAAATAAATTTAATGTATAAACTTATAAATGAGATGTACCCATTTTAAATTTCTTTAAATCGTAATTTTTGTTGAAAATGTTTGTTAAGAAATAACGAATATATTACCTACAATCTTTAAAACATTTTTTATGCAAATTAAATTTTCAAACCAGGTCTTTCATTGTTACTAAATTTTTATTAATATATGTTTAACAATTCCGCGTAGGTTACTTTTACCCCACCTAGACTCCTTTGACTGATGTACTTTGCCTTCATTCACTTTAGTCCACGTGCGGACTCTCCATCCGCCGCAACCACTGACGTTTCAAACTACAGCGCGACTACTCTAGGGTTACGGAAAGGCGGAAGCGAAGTAAATGAAAGGCGCGACTGCGTAGAGTAAGTGATTTTGACGGGAGAACCCTTCTTCTGCTGAAAGCGTTTTGATAAATGATAGTTGGGAATGGATTGGTCGCATGTAGTGTATCGCCGGTTAAAAAAAAGTTTAAAACATAAAAACACATTTTTCACAAATATTCTGCAATAGAAACGACAATTAAAGCAATTAAATAATATTTTGCTCTTGAAATAGAGATAAATTAAGTGTCCTGTTTTTCCTCATAATACTCGAGAAACTCTGGTCCCTCTAACAAATAAAAGATAAGTGACGTGTGTGAACTGAAAAACTATTGATTTTTCACTCCACGACGAAATACTTTATTTTGCAAACAGTTCTAAGCCCCAGAAAAGTAGCAATAGCGCGGATACTGGCACGGCGATCGACACGAAGCCATAAACAATCCTTTCGCGATGTCATTTACGGTACACGACAGCAACTGTAACGCGCAAGAAGCTCGACCTGATCAGTGAATTCCCTCGCGGGCAGAAGCACTTCCCGGGAGGAAAGAGTGAAAAAAGAAAAGAAAAGTGCGCGTGACCCGTTACGACGCAGCGCCGCCGCCGCCGCCGCCGCTCCGGAGGCTGCGAGGCGGCGGCGGCGGCGGCGGCAGTGGAGGCGGGCGGCGTGCGGCGCGCGAACGGGCTCGCATGCTTTTCTCGCGCTTCCCTACGCAGCTGCTAACAACCACTCGTCGGAGCGAGTCATGCTAAAACAATCGCAATAGCGGAAGTCGAAGTGCTTCTGAATCGCTACCGGTAATGTGCGACGTCACTTGGCGCAGTCTGCAGATGGTGTCTCATGTGGTTGACCGAAGATTCACAATGGCGGTGAGACGACCGCAGAGCATTAAACCTATTCTGCCGTTGTTTTTGTGTTAGATAAAACCGTTTACTGTCCACACACGATTCCACAACACACTCATCCAAGAGGAAAACGCACGAAAGGAACACACGCGGGCACACATCTGATCGCACTTCTTGAATAACTCATTTACCACGCCTCGATTACCCCCACACGTCGCCTACATGAATATCATGCCACGAGGCCTTCCCAGCCGAGATAATAACTATTTAATGGTAGTAATAAACTCAGAAGGGCTCGGGTCGAAGCGCAAACGGCTGTCGGCGTCGCCAACGTACCCACAGCCGCGCACACGAACCGCCGCCCATCGCCGCTGCCAACTCTGTACGAACTGCGTGCGGGTCATGTGTCTGCACCGGTGCGCACAAGGTGTTGGCGGCGGTGGCGGCGGCGGCGGACGGAAGCAGTCGGACCGGCTGCGCGCGGCGTGGCGCGGCGGTCGCCTGGTCGGGGCACCCGACCGATCGCCCGCGGCGGCGGCGGCGGCGGCGGCGGCCGCGACATCCTACGCGAAGCTCCGCCGCGCCGCCTAACGGGATCTCCCTGCGAGAGGCTGCCAGAGCCGCACACGCCGTGCGCGACGCGATTGCCAACACGGCGGGCACGGCGCGCCGGCCTTTGGGGATAACATACACCGCTACTTGAAAAGATTTCGTGAAAAAAAGAAGAAAGAATCCTTTATGTGTGAACTAATTTTGTTCTATTTCGCTTTAAAATCATGATTATTTTTCTCATTACAGGCGTAGGATTTCGATTCTAAAAGTTCGACGACTGATAAGAATTTTTCACATTTTTGGGGAGACAAAAATTGTAAGTCTCGCTCACACATGATAGGTTTTGGAAATAATGTATGATAGCAAACTCTTTCTATCTGCGGGGAAAGCGAATTGTTTTTTACGCACAAAATAACTAAGGATTTTCATCAAATTAATAGATATACCCAAACATGTCTACTACAGTATTCACAAGTACGAATAATTAATATGGGAAAAATACGAACCCGAAAACATGTTAAATAAGTACAAAAGCTTATAAAAAGATACACGACGCAAATTTCTTCCGTTACGTACAAATATTATTAACTAGTTGAACCGACACTGTAAATGGGTTTAAAAGCTTTTTCATGTGATGAAAATTTCTAAAGGTCTTGCACAGCGTTTAAAAAACAAAAATTCTTATAGTATCGCATTGGACATACCAATGAATCGTAGTAGCTGATAATGATATACTCCTGTTCAAAAATTCTCCACCCCCATGACCACGCATGTTCCCTTAAAACGGGATATGAAGAAGTAATATAGCATTTTCAAAATCGCAATCATCGTACAAAATATTTGCAGGTATGAAATAGTTTGAATTTAGTACAGCCAGCACGTTATTTTTGCTAATATGCACGCAACTCACATAAAAGATCACCTCTTAGCTGTTCTTCAGCGTTACGTTCTAATCCTAATATAAAAACATTCTCAATTAGTTCCGAAACTTCTGTCACAAAACTTTCTACAATTACTTCCTCCATCGTGTTTACATGTTTAAGGGTGTAAATGTGCAAAAGTCGAAAACGCATGTGCTTCCGTTCGCTAACATAACTCACAGTTCTGGTTTTCTCCGTATTCACGTGGCGTTTTTCATATTTAATAAGTTTCAAGGTAATACTGTACACAGGTGTTAGAAAATTTATTATTAAAATATGGTAATGCCTACGAAACACTTAAATTCGTATCACTATTGACAGTTCTGCGGCGTGTTCCACATGTTGCCATCCTCGTAGAAGAAAATTATGGCTTCGTGGAGCGACTCCATTATATACATTGGGTACTGGGATTTAATCAACGCCACCTACATACATCTATTTACGTGACGATTGTTTAATTCTCCGTCTATCCACTAAGATCGCAGCGCTAAAACACGCTATAACTCGATTTCGTAAATTTCTTAGAATCTGCTGGCCGGATCCGAATTGTCAATTACGGCAATTATTGGCGTTAACGGAGCGTAATGGCTAAATGCTCCTGAAAGCCGCTCCCGTCCTCTTGACACACGAACACTGCGCACGATCGTTCCTGCGTTCTATTCCTATGTTCTACAGGATACAATCGTTTCCCATTCATTTTGAAGTATCAACTTTCTTTAATATTTCGCCATCTACCTACTCCTTTTTCTGTCCAATGAACGTATGCAGTTTACTAGACTTGCTTCTTCGAAGGAAAAATAAGAAAACGACGATTTTCTCCCTCTGACTTCCCATTTCAATGTAGCAATTCAATACTGTACAGTACATAGAATTGTTGTGAAAATATGGCTAATATCTGTGTTTTCATTCACAATTAATAATAATGTAATACCCATTTAATCAGTTTCCTTTTCATAATGGGCTGAACATTCTCTTTCAATCCCCAATGGGGCGGGGCCGGTAT